AAAAAAAAAAAAAAAAAAATTTACTTATGTTTTTTTTATAGTAAAAGCGGGAACTAATTTATGCGGGATGTTGCTCATTTTTATTTGATAAATATTTGGATTTTTTTAATTCGCACACAAAAATTTTTTATGATGTTATATCTAAAAATAAAATAATACATATCATTTAACGTAGACATAAAAAGTAAATAAATTTTGAATAATTCTTAATAAAGAAATTCCATTATGCGTTAAAATATCCGACATTTAGGTAACTCGCATGAAAAGTTTTTCTTGGCAAATCATTTATGTTATGCGCCAATTTAATTAACTCTAAATAAAGTTACATAATTTACATTCAAAGGTTACACAGTGATTTAATTAACGAATAATAAAAAAATTTTTTTTTTTTTTCTTAAGAGAATTATTTTAAAACATTTTTAAAGATTATTTAATTATTATTTTAAAATAAATAAATATTTAAATTAAAAAGTAACGTCTGATTTACCAATTGACTTAAAATCCGGGTTTTCGGATATTCCCTTACATTTGTAACGGTATTACGATTGGTGTTGTACAACATAATTAAAATGTATATACCCGAAACTAGTTTAGGCTTTGCTTGTGGCTATAAATAGTGATATGTTAATTCTTTTACGAAATAATTCGTTACCGCATAAAAAATTTTTTATATGTACAATATTATATAATATAATAATATAGTATAGTGTATGTAGTGTGGTGTAATATAAAATATTATACGTTAATATGAAATAACTAAGTGACACAAGTCAAATTATTGTACCGGGCGATGAAACAATCGAAGGTACCGTATTTAGAAAAAATTTTAAACTTGTCCAAATTATAAATAATTTTTAATTTTATAAAATATCAAAATATCTATTTTAGGAAAAGATGAATTAAAAAAATATTTCAATATTTGAATATTGAACTTGTATAAAAAGTGGCTGCAAGGGAGGAAAGAAGCAAATATATTTGTATAAAGTGTGAAAAATATTATATTTGTGTCAATCATGTGAACGAAAACAATGTCAAGATAATTTTTCAAAATGGACCAGCGAAAATGAGGAATTCAAAATTCACAATTAAATTCTATGAAACCTCCAACTTTTTTGGAATGGATCCCTTTAAAAAAACTATATAAATATTTAGATAAACTTTATAATCAGCTGTTTGGATGGACATGGGATCATCGAAATCAAGAATATAGGAGATCTAAAGTTCAAGTTCTTGTCGAAGTGAGACAAATTAATGAAATTTTAAATGAGGTATTCATTATAATTTAATATGTCTTTTATTTATATTTTGTATTTGCACAGTTTGTATAATTTATTAATTTATCTTATATATCTAGATTGTCGCTTAAATGATAGCGCTTTATTAATACAGTTTATGGAATATCTAAAAATCCCGAAAATAACGAAATTTTAATTAATTACATATATTAGTATTTGATAGTAGTCTATGTACAATAAGTTAAATTTACCTTTACCAAAATCAGAGGACAACGTTACATGGCACTGGAATTTTTACGTTATAAACCTTATACAAAAGCCTGTGATATTTATTCATAATGTATACCGTTGGAATTGGAATGATTCCTTATAATGACACAGATGATGATTATCATCTAACTCTTGATATTTGTTTAGGATTAAGACCAAAATTTTCAATTAATATACCACGAAAGATTCGATGCTAATCCAGGTTTTCGTCCTGATATTTCTGAAATATGTGATACTTTATTGAAATGGTGGTCTGTTTATCATAAATATTTAACTCAAACTTGTTTAGAATTTCTCTCTGCAGATAATAGAAATAATTCTAAATTCAAAAATCCAGATGTAAACGAAACAAAAGACATAATCCTTCTAGATAATAAGGATTTAGAACCATCAGAATTTATCGATTTTATTGTAAGAAATCATTTGGTTAAATATATTAATTTAAACGAATTATCTTCAACAGTAGAACATATTGAAAGCGGTCATTTTTGGAACAATTTCAAAAACAATTTGGAAAAAAACGAATAGTAAGGTTTTTGTAAAAGAATAAAAAATATTGAATCAATTAATTAATGGAATCTTTTCTTCACGAATTAAATATGCATAAAAGAGTTGATTGTTGTCCAAGAATTATACATATATTAGGAATAAGTTTTGGTAAGATTTATACTATTATATAAATTGTTATTTTTTTTGTTAATATTACTTATATATTTGTTTATTATTCGTTTATAGATGAAAGTATTTATTTATAATGCAATATGCTGATGGTGGAATTTGAGTAATTACCTTAATAATCATTTTTCAGATTTAAATTAGAAAGATCACAAGATCAAGTTAGCTTATCAAATTACTGAAGGAATTAAATATCTTCATGGAGAAAATATTCTTCATCAAGATTTACATTCTAAGAATATAGTAATACATCAAAATAATCGATCTTGGTATAGCAAAAAGTACAGAAACCGAAACACATCTTCATTCGGGTTTATTTGGTATGATTCCGTATGTGGATCCTAAATTATTAGAAAGCGATTCTTATAAATATGATTAAAAGTCTGATATTTATAGTTTAGGAGTTCTTATGTGGGAATTATCTAGCGGTCATCCTCAGATGTTAACATATAGTTTAATAAAGGGTATCTGTTCCTTATGAATACATGAAATTATATCAATCGTGTTGGAATTGTGAACCAGATGAAAGACCATCAATTGAGCAAGTTTTTAGTAGAAATATTAAATATTCATGATGATATTGATGATGATGATGATATTGATAATACATCTATTTCACAGATTGTATTTTTTAATATTTATAATTTACTAATAAATTCTAATATCAATCAAGATTCATCATTAGACGACCTTTATCAATACTACAAAATTCGAATATGGATGGAGTCACATTAGGGATAAGAAATTTCAAAATAAATTAATTTTGATCTATGAATCGTTGTGCGCAAACCTTATATTTAATCGTAATTCTATGATTGTATTCAACTTGTTTTTTTTCTGTATTTAGAAATATTCAAAGCGTTATGACAACAATTTCTTTAAATTAATTATTCGCAACAAAATAAATAAACGGTATTTTTATTTTATAAATTCGCAAATTCGCGAGAGATGCATTAGTGATGATCGACGGCAATTTTATATTAGCACCCATAATCTGGAGGACAAAATGCAATTATTGGTACAATTTACATTAGAATTTACAAATAAGGTAAATAAATTTATTGTAATTTCGAACTTTAAAGTACCAAACAAATTCTTGACATTCTGGCTATCTTTATTTAAAAAACCATGAGGATATCTTCAAAATTACAAATTTTAAATGAGAGCTGAAATTATAAAATTAGACATTTTCGTTAAATTTTATATTAAAATCGGAGATTATGGCATATTGTATTTTTCAACAATTAAAGAACTCATTCTTTACAATCAGTGCTGACCAAATTATATATTACGGCAATTAAAATTATTATAACTTGGGTTGGGGGCCGCTCTGCTTAATTACAAATTAGATACGTATATGTAAAATGCCCGCCGGTTATTAGTAAATTTGACGAAAATTCTTTCCATTTCTCGCGAATTGCGAATTTAACTATTAAATTTATATTGGGTTCAGGTGTATTCTCATTGGATCGGAACACAACTATGTGATTTTAAAACATTATATAAAAAGTTTAGCCTAAATATATAAAAAATAATTTTATTTTAAATAGGGTCGATTTTTTAAATCATTAAAAAGTTAATAATTTTATTACAGCACTTTATTAGAATTTATAATATGCAATCGAAGAGAATGTTAGCAAATTTCGAATTACCTATAGTAGTTACATAATCATTACAAAAGTTTTCGTTAAATGATACTTTAATAATAATTTAACTTTTAAGACATAAATAATGATATAATGATTTTTCTTCACATAGTTAAGACAAGATTGGACCTAGACTCGAACATGTCTAATACCTGATTATGGATCGCACAAATATACTTGGACAAACATAACTAAAGTTCCTTAAATTTTTTTACAAAAAAAATTCGACGTGACCGTGTGACTTACTGAATTATCTGTTACACTAGTCTCAAATCTTTTAAAGCGAACAAAGAAAAAAAAAAAAGGTTTGCCTATTTTTAAATTACATATTCCCCTATAGGTAGGTAACTAACAGTTATCGGCATCTTTTTTAACCGTACCTTAAAATACCTTGTGACATGTTGTTAGTTTAATTGTCAAGTCTAAAAAAAAAACCGATCAGATCGTTGGCGTAATTAGAGTTTTATTTATAAACAAACAAAATTTTAAATTTTGTACAAAAATTCATTCTAACCGGATCAACATTTTACCAGGACCGAAGGTCTGATGAAAAAATTTTCACTTAGGGCCGGCATTATATAATGCTGGCTGACGTAAACAAAAAAGGAAATATCGGCATTATTCTTCATCTTGCCTTTTTAATGCATATTTCGGTCCTCTTTATCCGTTACGTAACAATAAACATTACATAACATTCTTCGTGGGAACACAAATTTCGTTATCTGTTTTGATGACAAATTGTCAATTGTCAGCAAAGGGGACACGTATAAATAAACACTGAGAAGTTTGTAAAGTAATTTATCAAAAATTTTTCTTTTGATAAAATGGCTAAAGACACTTCTTCCCCCACCAAAACCGGTATTGCTCTCGATGATTATGTTTTATTGGGTAATAGTGGACTAAGAGTTTCTCCGTTATGTCTTGGCGCTATGGTAATATTTAATTTCATAAATTTGGCCAAAATTATAACGTAAATTATAGTTTTATAATCGTTATATTTAATATTATGATGAATGACCCGCTTAGACTTTTGGTGAATCATGGGTAAGTTTATGCAGTATACAGTATTAAAAAAAAAAAAGAAGTAAAAAAAATGGTCTTTAAATTATATAATTTATAAATAGGGATTAGGTTCTAATAATGAGGAATCAAAAAAAGTTTTTGATCATTATTTTGAAAAAGGCGGGAACTTTATTGGTAGAGTTTTTATTTTTTATTTTAGTTGTAGTCATACTAAAATGATACTTTAATGACATAATTATGTTTCTTTTAGATACCGCCTGCAATTACAACTTTGGTGAAGTAAGTATTTAAAGACTATTAAATAATTAAATTAATCAATTAATGAAATTCTTTAATTGATTTAGAGCGAACGTTTTCTTGGGGAATACGTTGCCGGTAAGCGGTCCGATGTCGTAATTGCAACGAAATATACAGGTAATGAACTTTTTTATAATATTTAAACCGTTTAATTGTAAATTTTAAATAATTTTTTTAAAATTTATCTTATAGCGAATGTAACTAGTATGCAAAAGAGTATGAAAAAGGATGTGAGATACAATCCAAATTCTGGTAAGCTAGTTATTCATAGTATAAGCTAATTAATTGTATTAATATTAAACTTATGTATATATATATATTTATTTAGGTGGAAACCATCGAAAAAGTCTTGTGGAAAATTTGGATGCAAGTTTGAAACGATTGAATATGAGTTATGTTGACATCTTATACGTTCACTTTTATGAATATCGAACTCCAATTGAAGAATTTATGAGATCATTAGATGATACCGTTCGAAGTGGAAAAGTGAGTCGATTATACTACACAAAAATGATTTTTTTTTTTCTAAAATATTTATAAAAAAAAAAAAATTTAGGCTTTGTATGTCGCTATAAGCGATACTCCATCTTGGGCACTTTCTCGTTCTAATACTATAGCTGATCTACGCGGATGGAGGTACGTTATTATAATTACAATGTAGATAATGAAGATACTTAATAATTCATATTATTTATTAATCGTATTTTAGCCAATTCATTGGACTTCAAACACGTTATAATCTATTGGATCGATCGATGGAATTTGATTTACAACCTGCTTGTGCTGAACATAATGTAATGAACTTCAATTCACGTTTAACTATAACTTATGAGTAAAGAAATAAGAAAATTAAACTATATCTTTTTTTCTTTAGATTGGAATTATTCCATGGGGTGTCGTTGCAGAAGGGTAATTAAATCATTGATACTTTTTATTTTTATATTGCGCATTAAAATATTTTTTTCATACTCTTGTTTTTTTTAAAAAAAAACCAGATTTCTTACCGGAAAATATACGAGGGAACAAACCGCTGATGCAAAATCGGAATTTCGTAATATGCAAATCGTAAAACATTCAAAATCTGATAAAAATTGGAAAATCTTGGATGAAGTTAATGCCATTGCAAAAGAAATTGGGAGATCTCCTGTTCAGGTGACTATTTATATTCAACCTTTTAAATATCTCTATAGGTTTCTTTCCATTTTGTAGATAAACTGTTAACACAAAATGTATAATACTTTAGGTTACTTTGAATTGGACTATGCAAAAACCCGGTATTACTTCTCCTTTAATTGGTGCTAGAAATATCGGTCAACTCGAAGAAAATCTTAAATCACTTGAATTCAAGTAAGTACATTAATATTTAAAAAAAAAATCTATTTTTAAAAAGATTAGCTAATATAAATTTATAACAAAAAATATTATAATTATAATTCTTTTTTTTTCAGATTGACACCTGAACAAATGAAAAGACTTGATGATGTTTCTGAACCAAGTGAAGTTCCATTTCCTTACGGGTTCTTTGATATGGTGGATTTAAATCTTGGAAAAAACATTAATATTCCAACTAGATTTGAATCCCTTGCGGCTAAATATGACTTTGGAACTTATCGTAGCTTATTTTAACAAAGATAGTTAAAGGGTCATTTGTATTTCATAATTAATCTAGTAATTATATTATTGTAACCAATTTTATTATATTAATATTTCGTTTTATTTTTTGTATTTTTTATTTTTAATAAATACATAATTTTGTACAAAATGAAAATTTTATTTAATCCGATATACGGAATACTTTTGCAATAAGTTTAATTTTGCAAGTGATAAACTGAGAAGATTGAACTACTTTAGCAATGAAAGCTTATAGCATAAAAGTATTAATCTTTACATACAGTATATACTGTATAAACCATTTTAGCTTTGAAATTTAAATTTTATAAATTATAATTTTGTCATATCATTAGTCCGAAGTGTAACGAAGGATTATACAGTCTACCCTTGATATAGCGAAGAAGCCGTTCTGCACCTCAAATTCGTTATAGCAAGTTAACGAAGAATTTGAAGAATTTGATTGGTTACTTCGTTATAGCGAGGGAAAATTGTCATATTTTATTATTCAAGTTGATATGCAATGTGTTCGGCAAAAGTGTCATTCTTGATATAAAATAAAAATAAATATACAGTATGTCTATCACCCTTTGTTGTACTATTTGTCTTATTTATTATTTCGTTACGCAAATTTTATAGTGATGACTGATGAGATTTGTAGATTTGTGGGTGACCAATTAATTTAGCTATATTAAGCAAGCTCTAACTATCAGTTATGAACTGAGTAAAAATTCGGGTCCAGATGGTTTAAACAATCTTTTCACAACCGGTTTCAATCTCAAGAGATTGTATATATTATATAAATTTAGAAACATCAGCTACAATTTCAGTATTGTTTAAAAAAAGTAAATAATCATGAGACTATCATGAGTCATCTCTTTACTAATAATCAGTAGCTATAGATTTACATAATTTTTATACTCTGACTATAACTAGAAAATTTATATAAAAGGCCTTTCCATCCACAAATTTTTTTTTAAAAAAATTCTCTCTTCCTCTCTCCAGCAAACAGCTGAGTGGCCAAAATCCAGCGAGGTAAACAAAAAAAAAGCTATTCTTTATTTTATTCCCACTTTATATTTCCTAAGTAAAAGCTTTAGACTTAGACATAAACCACATAAACCAAAGAAACAAAGCTTTTTTTGCCAAAGTAAACATAACCTAGGCGAAGAGAGTGGGCTGAGAGCGTGGGTTGGGAGTGTGGGGAGCGTGGGTTTGTGTGTGTAGGTGGTGGTGTTTTAACTTCGTTATTTTTTCGTCGTCTTTTTTTTTAGTTCTATCTTCTCTCTTTCAGGACTTCTCTTTATTAGGCCTTCTCTTAGGTCCCTTTTCTTTACGTCTTCCTTTAGGTACTGTATATGGTTGTGTGAGGTTTTGGAGTGTGGGTTGGAATGTGGGTGGTGGTGTTTTAACTTCTTTTTTTTTCGTCTTCTTTTTTTTTAGGTTTATCTTCTCTCCGTCAAGTCTTATCTTTATTAGGCCTTCTCTTAGGTTCCTTTTCTTTACGTCTGATTCCTTTATGTACGTAAGTTGGGAGTATGGGTTAGGAGTGTGGGTTTGTGTGTTGTGTTTAACTTCTTTTTTTTTTGTCGTCTTTTTTTTTTAGGTCTATCTTCTCTCTGTCGAGGTTTTCTCTTTATTAGGTTTCAGCTTAGATCCCTTTTCTTTACGTCTTCATTTAGGTGTGTGGGTTGGGTTGGGAGAGTATGGGTTGGGAGTGTGGGTAGGGAGTGTGTGGGTTGGGAGCGTGGGTTGGGAGCGTGGGTTGGGAGTGTGGGTTTGGAGTGTGGGTTTGGAGTGTGGGTTGGGAGTGTGAGGGTGGTGGTGTTTAACTTCTTTTTTTTTCGTCGTCTTTTTTTTAGGTTTATCTTCTATCTGCTAAGGTCTTCTCTTTATTTAGCCTTCTCTTAGGACCCTTCTTCGCGTTTTCCTTTAGGTATGTGAATTGGGAGTATGGATAGTCCCTATAAAAAAATTGGATACGTTTTTTATAAAGTTTTTATACGATTTTTTTTCCTTAGAAATAACGTATCATAATAGGATACGGAAAAATGCACAATTCCGTATCACTAAAAATATGGTTTGGATAC